GATGAACCACAGTTGGAGTTGGATCTTTGAGTCTTCTCCATGGTCTTTACCTCTGGTAATCTCAGCTGGTGTAGTGCTGCTTATAAACTGCTGAGGGTCTGGACAGAAATACTTCTCACCTGCAGAGCTGCCTGCAGCCCTGGGGAAGGACAAGGACCTGGTGGAGTATCCAGAGGCACCAGGATGATCAGGGGGATGGGGCAGCTCTGCTGTGAGCAAAGGCTGAGGGAATTGGGATTGTTCAGCCTGGAGCAGAGAAGGCTTTGGGGTGACCTCATGGAGGCCTTCAGTGCCTGAAGGGAGCCTGCAGGAAAGATGCGGAGAGACGGTTTACAAGGGTGTGGAGTGACAGGATAAGGGGAAATGGTTTCAAACTAACAGAGTAGATTTTAACTGGATATTAGGAAGAAATTGTTCCCTGTGAGGATGGGGAGGCCCTGGCACAGGATGCCCAGAGAAGCTGTGGATGCCCCATCCCTGGAAGGGTCCAGGGCCAGGCTGGACAAAGCTTGGAGCAAGCTGGGATTGTGGAAGGTGTCCACTAGGATTGGGATGGCTTAGAATAGATCCTTAGGGTCCCTTCCAATCCAAACCATCCCATGATTCTATGTCAGAATGCCTTTTCTCTAAGTGCTCTTTGCTCTCCATACTTCTGGCCATTAGATTAGCAAGATGTGTCCATTATGCCTCTATTTTTTTCATTGATTTTGAAGTTTAAGTATTTCTATGAACAGCTGGTTTTATTGGCCAGGAGTTCTAAGCCACTGAGGAGCTTTTGTACTGATTTTAACTCTTACAAGCATTAGTTATTTCAGGTTATTTATGGTTGAGCTTCTGTGCTTGGCTTTTTTCAGATAAGGGAAAAAAAAAAGAAAGAAAAAAGCCTCCAAAACTGTGGGCCTGCCTTATCCCTTCTTGCTCAAGCAGTGAAACCAAGTGGGAATGTCTGGGTTATTTCTGAACTCCACTGATGTGGCCCTCCTTCATGAGAGCAGCAGGAGGATGTCACATTCAGCAGCTCAGGAGAGGATCAGTGCATGCTGCACCCAGCTCAGCACACCCCAGAGGTAACACCATGGGCTGATGCCACAGAATAAGGCAAAGAACTACCTGATGTCTGCTCTTTTTTGTATTTAAAAATGTATGCATGTGTTTGAAGAGCTGCCTTTACAGGCTCTGAGAAGAAGAGAATTTTTGAAAGGAGTTTTGGTTCCTTGGGAATTTCTTTTTTAATCTTTAACAAATTTTTCCTTCATGTTTTGCTGCAGAAGGTGAGGCTTTGGCCACAGGTTTGTTCAGAAGCTTCATACTTTGCTTTACTTGGTGTCTCCACTGTTTCAGTAGATGAAAAATAAACAAAAAAGGCCAAAACTAATATTTCACCTTTCAAATCTGGTAATGTCTTTTTTGTTGTTATTTTTCCTCCCCTCTTACCCTTTTCATGGTGAAGAAATAGTGTAAAAAGTTCAACATTTGTTTCCAGGTGATCTGTTCTTTTTCATCCCTCTCCTTCTCTCCCAGGAGATGGAGGCCCCTGCCATCCTCTGAGATGTCAGGAGTTTCAGGAGATGATTTATGCAGCAGCATAAAATGGCATTGGACCATGTAGTGAGGGTCAGACATATGGTAGCAATGATCATATACAATATGTACATGCCCAGTAAAGCAGCTTCCCTGCCTGTCTTTGAACATGTTATGATATCCTTTCCTGGGCTGCAAAATGCTCTAAATGTTATTGTGTATTCTGATCTTATTCAGGTTTGTACCATGCGAAACAGGAGCAGGAACAAACAAATAACTGCTTTCCTTGACCAAAATAAATTGTGTACATTTTGGTGTGGAAATGAGATTACAGCCCTTATTTTCTTTTTGACTTGACTGGAGCTGTTGAGAATAGCAGCCCCTCAGGTCTCTGGTAATGTAGTCTTCAGCTCAAACAGGGATTTTAAAATATTTAAGCATCTCTCTCACGAGGCTTCTTGTTTCCTATTTGTTTTGTGTTGCTAAGCAATGCATTTAAACCCCCAAAGTTAAAATTTACAACTCTCAAATTGTCCCTCAGCCTTATTCTCCAAACCTCACATCTGTAATGGGTTTTCCATCTGCCAGTTTTCCCAGGTCGCCCTATCCATCCTCAACTCTGCAGAGGAAAAAGCTTTGTGGTTGAGAGGTGGGGGAGGAGGGGGTTCCCCTTTATTTTTTTTTAGCCTCCATCTGTAATTAATTTCTTGCAAAGCCACATCTGTCCATTTGGGGCAGGGGAAGTGGGGAAGGGGAGGTAAAGAGTGAAGTCACTTTCTCCCAGTAAAATGCAGGATTTGGCATGTGTGGCTGTAGTTCCTCAGGGCATTTTAGCCTCTCCCTTCCACCCTGAGCCCTGCCACCCCCAGCTCCAGTGCATGCCTTGCAGAGGGCATAGTGCTGGAACTTCTCCTGCCTCTGTGGGGCTTCCTTGTGCTGCTGCCCACATCTGACACCGCAGTGTTTCGACTGCTGGGGTTCCTGCAAAAGCTTTGGAAAACTTCCTTCTGTCAATATTTGAATTTTCAAAAGCCATACTAAATAGCTGCCATGATGTTTCGTTTTTAAAGACTTAAGAAGCAGCCGCAGCGGTCCCAGTCAATATTCCTTCTCTGCCATCATCCAGGGCAGCTGTTCCAAAATATTTTTATGTTCTGCAGACCACCAGGTAGCTTTGAACAGGAGCTGGGCTTGCTGTGAGGCTGGTCCCCTGCCTGGTGCCCTGCTCTCTGTGGTGGGGCAAAGCAGAAAGAAGCAGCTGTCTTAGAGTCATGGAATTGCTAAGGCTGGAAAAGGCCTCTAAGATCATCAAATCCAACTGTTCCCCCAACACCACCACAGTGCTCACCTCTCAACTGTGTCCTCAAGTGCCACATACAGGGTTTTTGAACAGTTTCAGGGATGGTGATTCCACCCCCCCTCCCCTGGGCAGCCTGCTCCATGGCTTGACAGCCCTTTCCATGAGGAAATTTTTCCTAATACCCAATGGAAACCTCCCCTAGTGCAACATTTCCTCTTGTCTCATCACTTGTTAACCTGGGAGAAGAGCCTGACCCCCACATGGCTATAACTGCATTTTAAGTGGTTGTAGAGAACACCAGGGTATCCCCTGAGCCTCCTTTTCTCCAGACTTAACAGCCCCAGCTCCCTCATGCTTCATCTCCTTCCCCAGCTCTGTTCCTCTCCTCTGGGCATGATGCTGTTTGTTGCCCTTCTTTGCTTATGGAGGGCATAAACACCAAAAATGTAAGAACAAGAAAATCCTGAAATCTGAGAAGAAATTCTTCCCTGTGAGGGTGGGGAGGCCATGGCACAGGGTGCCCAGAGAAGCTGTGGCTGTCCCATCACTGAAAGTGTTCAAGGCCAGGCTGGATGGGGCTTGGAGTGGAAATATATAAGTGGAAGGTATCGCTGCCCATGTCAGGGGGGTGGAATGAGAGGATCTTTAAGGTCCCTTCCAACCCAAACCATTTTGTAGTCTATGGAAGTTGAATTTTTAGGCATTTTTGGAGATCTGGGGTTTCATCTCTTTGTTACTTTGAGCAAGTCAGACTCCAGGGGTATAAATTGAACTGCTCTGATTTAAATGTGTTCTTCCACCCAGTGCTCTTCTCACACTTGGTCCTGGTGGCACAACTACTGGGCAGTTGGTGAATTGGATGGGATCATTAATCTGGGTTAAATATATACTGACTTACTTTGATGCCATATTATTTTTAATTTATGTCAGTTCTGCAATTCAACTTATTGCCCAGCCTCACAGGCCATGGGATTGGCACATTGAAAGGCTGGCAGAGGGGTAGGAGGATAAATGGTGAGGAGTGTGGCAGGGGCAGCTTAAATTGATGTTCCTGCTGTAAAACACCCCTGTTTGTCCAAGTGCTGCCTGATATGTGAGGCAGAACCTGTTCTGTGCAGGGCTAACACAATGTGCTGCCTGTTTGCTGCCTGTTACAGGCACCTTCCTGAGCGTTGCTTTCAGGAGAAGTTCTTTGGGATGATGCCCCTAACACTGATAAGAAATGGCAAATTTTAGAATAATATGATAAAGAACTGAAATGCTGAGTAGTAAATAGTTGTAGAACCTTCCTGACTCAGGATTCATCCCTGTTGGACATCCAGCAGTGCTTCCAGTAACTCTCATAATTCCAGGTTAGAGGAGGAGCTGTTACAGGAGCCTTGTGGAAAGCTGGGCCAGTGGAAGATGAAGAAAGCTGGGGCACCCACGTTGAGGGAATATTGTGTGTCACAGACACATCTGCCACAGCTGCCAGAGCACAGTGGGACCTTGTTCCAGCCCAGCCATGGTAGTAACATGTCTGGAAAATAATTTTTGGCAAGGGTCAACTTAAACAGCTTTGTTCTGCCTCAGAGTCAGCTCTCAAAGAAGCTCTCAAATGCTGAATGAGTCATGGCAGGCTCTTGTGGTGGTCATGTCAGGAAAAGGACATGGAGCCCTGGGCTGGTGCCTCTGGAAGGGCTCTGGATCAGCTGCTGGAAGATCCTTGCCCAGCAGCAACTGAGAGTCCCAGCAGCAAACTGGGAGCAGATTTACAATGCTGATCCCATTGCAGATCCTTCTGAAATCTCCCATTGTCCCCACACCACGTTTCCATCTCCCTGTTTTAACATGTTTTGTTTTAATTAAATTAATTTAAATAGAATGAAAAATATGGGCAAAATTCTGTGGTGGCAGCTGCTCTCTGAGGAACAGACTCATAAAAATAATGTGGTGAGAAATTAGTGTGATTCCAGCATAAAATGACCCAAATTTGAAATAACACTGACACCCTGTGGAGATGTTTGGAGGGGCCTTCTGCAGGTCTTGCTGATTTTTGTTTCTGATACTTTAAGCCAGTGATTAGATTCATTCATGCCATCTTTTAGAGAAACTTTTATTTTTTGCAATGAAAGTTTTGTTGTTGTCAAAGTCAGATTAAAAAGTGAAAATCCTTTGTATCTTTTCCATTAGAAATATTTCTTTAGTCCTGTGGCTAAACCATAAAAGCTCATTTACCAAAAAGAGGATGATGAGGAATATTCTGACAACATCTGAAGAATGTGCCTGCAGTGGGTTGAGTTTCCTGAAGGGCTTTCTTCTGCACAGCTGGAAGCACTGGAGGGAGCTCTTCATGGCAAGGTGAAGTCAGGGTGGTAATCATTTCCTTTCCAGTCTGGACTCTTGTTTAAAAATGCAAGAGCTGCAAAGTTTAATGGCAAATGTGCACTGTGAATATGCAGAGCAGCAGCTTTGTGTTTGTTCTTGCTGCAGGTCACTCAGAGGATGCTCTGGCTCTTTGGAACATGTTCTGGATGCCTTCCTGTGCTTGTGTTCTGGACTGAGCCGGGCAGAGAGCACCCTGGTTAAAAAGGGATCAGTTTCCCTTCTCACTCCAGATTGAGCACAGGATCTCCTTCCTGTGCAGGATTAAAGGTCAGAAAGAGGAGGGGGTGTTTGAGGAGGCTCCTGGTGATGTGAGAGCAGCCAGCACTGCAGGGGAAGGCAAGGCAGCCTGGGAGCTGTCCCATTCCTCACCTGCTGCCTGGAGCACCTGAGTGCTGCAAGTGCACTCTTCACCTTGAGAGTTGCCTGGTCTTATTGGTTTCCTCCAAGGGTGATAGGATGTTTAATTCCCAGATATTTACATTGTCTGCAGAAGGGGAAACTGAAACAAACTGGGCTGAGCAGAGCCAGAATGGGCAGTAGAAATGAGTTGTCACATAAACTCAGTTTGCTAGAGCTGGAGCTGTTGATCTTTGTGGGTAAGCAAGGTTGGATATCATTAGTCTTACACGTCAGGAACCATTTTCCCACTGGTGCTGGTTGATCAGCCTCAGTTCTAGACCCTCACTCCACCTTAGAGGAAGTGTGAGCTGCAGTGTATCAGTGACTATAAAGATACCATCTCCCATCTCAGAATCACAGCAGTTTCAGACTGTGGTATGGTTTTCCCTCACCTCCAGCCATGTCGCCCCTCCCTGAGCTCTGTGCTCTCATCCTGCTGGGAGCAGTGAGCAGAGCTGCAGCCCTGGGAGCAGTATCCCCTGTAGATCCCATCCCAGTGAACAAGGAAGGGATTTTTGCACAGAGCCAGTGTGTCCATTCAGAAAAACCTTTGAGATTAAAAGTATTTACAGACACTGAAAAAATTCTTACAGAAAGATCCAGCTTCCAAGACAGGAGGTGTTCATGGAAATAGAATTAGACTTGCCATGTGAATAGCTTAGCTCCAAAAAGGCTGGGCTTGCTCTCTCATTGTCCTTACCCCACTGAAAATTCTCCTGGTTGTGCTCCACAGCAATATCCACAGCTGTGCAGGAGGTCACACAGGCTGCCCCCCTCACAAACCACCTTTGGTCCTGAGGATTGCTGTTCACAGAGGAGCATTTCCTTCCAGTTGTCTGTGGAATTTGCCACCACTGAACAACACCACAACCTTCTGAACAAAAGGGAAATTCACCCTGCATTCTGCAGCAGTTGCCTACAGCCCTGAAGGGAAACCATCAAGGGGGTTATCTGCAAGGAAGTGTCAGCTGGGTAGCCATGGAGGACACTCAGCATCAATTACTCCTTTAGTAAAGTTGGGTAAATTTGAGTGATGTCTTGAATCACCAGGAGAGGAATTAGAAGCCTTTTTCATGAAAGCAGTTCTCATTCTGTAGCTGTTGTATTAGCAGCCAAGTTGGGGTCAAGGCTAAATTACTTAGAAGCTCTCCAGGTCAGTTCTCAAGGCTGTGTTCAGGATCCTTGCTGTGACCCCTCTCTTTCACAAGGCTCACATGAAGAAGGAAGGACTTTCATACCAGGAATCTGATGAAGGCCACACATTAAAAATAAATCCCCATGTTCTGGTGACAGCCTGAGGAAGTGACAGGAAGAACCATCAGAGTCTCTGCACAGCTTACTTGGTTTGCTCTGAAGTCAGCTAGTTGTGATTTAAATATCTTGAGTTATTCTGGGCTAATACCCACATACAGAGAAGATGCACAACAGCCTGGCTGGCATGTTGTCACAGCACAGTGACTTGTTTCAATCCCCCAGCTCAACAGAGCTTGATTTGTTGTTAGAAGCTTGAGAATTGCTTTAATCCAATATCTCCAACACTTCCCTAGAGATAAAGAAAGGTAAAATCTTGGTACTATGGGTACTGCCCCTTTTCCTTGGCAGCATCTGTCTCTGGAGTTTGTTTTCCAAGCAAGGCAGTCTCTCTTTTCCCTTTCCTTTTCCCAGGCTGTGCTGAACCCTAATATTTTAGAGAAGGCTCAGAACAACTGCCCACTGCTTTTATTCATAGAATCCCAGAATGGTTTCAGTTGGAAAAGGACTTAAAGGATCCTCTAGTTCCAAATCCTTGCTATGGGCCGGGATTCTACTTTCCAGAAGTTGATTTTGGGGGCACTGATGCTTCATGAAATTGCCAAACTAGTCTTGCACTTTAACTTAAAATTACTCTGAATTTTTAAAAAATATTTTAAAATTTGTTTATTATTTTTATCCAATTTCAGTCCATTTGAAATGGCCACTCCATTTCCTGTGTCAGGTTTCCAGTACATGCAGCTCTGATGAGATGTTAATGATCCCCAAATTCTCTGTCTTCTCCTGGCACAGTCTCTGGTGAAAGGATGCAGAGGGGAGTTAGTTGTCCTCCAGGGGACCCCAACAAACATCTGGGCTTTGTTTAACTGCTCTTGGTTTCCTTCTCCCAAGGGACCAGGACTCTTCCCCCTCTCTATGAGGAGACCTGCTCTGTAGTGAGCTGGTGGCTGCTCCTCCAGTGAATGAAGCTGGGAGTATCAGCTCCCATGCAGAACACACACAGGGCCATCAAAGGTACACAGAGGTGCTGATGAGGAGGCAGGCAGAATAAAATCAGCTTTGTGCAATGTAAATGTGCATTGCTGTTCCCTTAAAGCCTTTGTGCTCAGGTGGAGAGGTGACGTCTGGTGGTGCTGTCAATTAAACTGAGAATAAACACTGTTTAATTTGTGGTGACATTTAAAAGCAATTAAGGAGGTTTAAATGTTAAATGTGTGTTTTGTCTTTCCAGTTAAACACAGTTTTGGAGGGAAAAAATCTCCCAAATATTTAATTACACATTTACAACTGTATAAATAAGCCTGACAGTTTTAAAAAGATTTTTAATACCTCACATAACTGCTTTAACTTCATGTACAGGGTGTGGTGCTCTGTTAAAATCCTGACACATGTAGTTTCTTATTGTAACTCCTGTATCCAGCATTGTCTGGGAGCAACTGGGGTGTGCATTTCCTAATCTGCTCCAGGCAAAATCACCCAGGTGGCTGGAAGCACCTATACAAACTAATCCTGTTGATTTTTCCCTGAAACAGATTAAGGAGTCATGAGGCAGAAATGCTGAGCAGCAGACATTTGGTGCTAGTGACTTCATATGCTCACTGGTGAAGTGATGGAGCTCCAGCAGCTGGATCTGCAGAGACAAGTCTCTTGCTGTCCTTCTTTCTGGTCAGGCCCAGGAGAGAGGAGGCAGCCTGAGCTGGCCTGTCTGCTCCTGAGGTGCAGGCAGAGCTGCTGTCACTGATTGTGAGGTATGAGGTCACCTGGACTGAGTCAGCACAGCCACACTTGGGGTTTTGTGCTTGGGGCACTCCTGAGGGTTTACACATTGTCCAAACCTGGTTCCATCCATCTAACCCCAGTAGTAAGGATCTGGCCTTATATGCTGAGTGACCCCTTTGCCACTCTGTAGTCCCAGGGAAAGCTTTCCTGTGGCACCTTTCCACTGAGCAATGACCTTGTGGCGACACTGCAGGGAAGGCAGGGGAAGGTGGGCACTGAGTTGTGCTCTGAGCTGAGTGAATTTCTCACACTGGTGTGAGAAGCCTTGGTGCACATTAAGTGCTCCTCAGCTCACCTGCCCTGTCCTTCCCTGCTGTCGGTCTCATGTCTCTTGTGTTCTTTCCCATTTCACAGGATCCAAGGACTCCTCCTCCTGGGAGAGTCAAAGCAGTGACTCCAGTTTGTCTCTCCACTGCCTGGGAGAGAGGAAGACAGTTGGGGGTGACACCTTTTCAGCTGAAGACTTTCAATGCTTGATACCTGACCTCAGAGGCACCCTGCCTCAAATTATTTCTGTGCCTTCAGCTTATTCACACGTGGCTTTATTTTGTACAAGTATCTTCTGCAAAGCCATGCTTAACATGCTTTGCTAGGTCTAAGTGCCATCCTTGACTCAGGAATTTCTTTTGTATTGTGTAAATCTGATTTCAGCCTGCTGCCAGGATCACACAGCTCTTTGAACAGGAAGATCTGTGCAGTATCTGGTGAGAGTGTATGTTGATCTAAAGCTTTCTCCTTTTGAGCATGGAGAGGTTTTCCTGGAGCAGATAGAATTACTTCACAGCCTCTATGGCTTCCTTCCCACACCAGCCCTAGCTTTTGAGATGGCCCTTTCCTTATTCCGTCTCTTTCTCTTGATCTTCCTGGGCTCTGCTCTTGGCAAGGGATAACAAAGCTCTTCTGCCTGTCACCTTTGGAAGATGATGGCCCTTCATGACCACCCTGTGTCCTGCTGGTCCCCTGGCCATCCCACATCCCCAGCCCCTTGCCTGGTCTGTAACCTGATGCACTTGGCCACTTCTTAGCCCTTGTTGTTTCTGTAGGTGTAGACAATTGCTCAGCACTTAAATATTAATGTGCTAATTAATAATGAAAGCTGAGATTGTAGTTAGGTTTAAAACTTTAATTGGGTGAGGAGCTGGCAGAGGAGCAGTCCATAACAATGAAACTGTGTTATTAATATCTATATCTATACCTATACCTATATCTATTATATATATATAGAGATCTATCTATCTAGATCTATCTATATATATCTATATCTATATCTATATCTATATCTATATCTATATCTATATCTTTAAATATCTTTCCTTCCAGCAATAGCATTGCACAAGAGAAGTATCCTGAGTGTGGATGGCTGCAAAGATGTTTGCTTGAGGCACTTGGAACCTTGCAGCAGGAAGTCATAAAGCACTAGGTATGATTTTATTATTTTTTTCAAAGGGGTTTGTAAAAGTCCCATTAAAAGTTTTCGTTCCCAGTCCTAAAAATGGAGGAGGGAAAGGGAAAATTCCTGGAAAGAAATACATTTATTTTCCACTTCAGGCCAGTCTGCAAGTGCAGTATTTGTTGCAGTGTTAAAGTAGCCCAAGATACTACATTGGATGCAATGATCTGAGAGGTCTTTTCCAACCTAAATGATTCTGTGGGGACCAAAAAAGGATGAGGAACAGCAAGTGGAGCAGAAGCAATGGAGAAAACGTCCTGGACAGTGAGGAGCTGTGGAGGAAGGGGATGCAGGGGCTGTAGCTGTGGTGGGATGTGCAGGACTGGAATATCCGTGAGCTCTGCTCGGCTCTGCCGTCCTTGCCGAGTTTCTGGAGCACATTTCGGTGCTGCTGGGTGGTGGCTCCTGCTGAGCCGGGCTGGCATTGCACCAGCGGCGCCTTCCCTGCCAAACTTCCAGCGCTGCCTGCCAGATGGAATTGACACTGGAGCGTTATTTCATATTGGGAGTGTGTGAGCGTAGAGGGGAAATTTAATTTAATATGTTATTTGTAGTTGAACGGGGGAAAATTTTAAATTAATACGTTATTTGTAGTTGAACGGGGAGAGATAAAATTCTATTGATGTTATGGTTGAATAGCATCCAATTTATTGGTGCTAGATTATAAAAGGAGGTGTATTGCTCAAGACTGCACATAGTCATAATGTGTAGTATAATGGGGCTATATAGTATAATCATACTGTTTAAGAGGGCTGTAATTCTAAACTATAATTCTGTAATTCCAAAGTCCGAAGAGCCGAGTGCCTCTGAGGGCGGCGCGCGTTGTTACAGGACCCGTTGCCACAGCATCCTGCTCCTGCTGCGCGCAGCCCCGGCTCAGAATTTTCAGTATTTATTTATATGCACTTGACAAACGCGTGTGACAAATGTGTGTCACAACGCGTATGACAAATGTTTATTCGCTGGCTTTCCCCCTAAAGCCGGGGATCCTCCCAGCAGCCGAGCAGCGGCACCGGCCGACC